GGGCTGCCAGATCCAGAGTGGGACATATCTATCAAGTCCCCGAAAGTCTTTTCTGTGTGCCTAACTGACTGTCTCTGCTTCTCCAGGTCAGCCACCTTGGCCTCAAGGGAGCAAACACGTTCCCTGAGAACCAGGAGCTCCTTGCACCAAGCACACACCCAGGACTTCTGTCTAGTGGGCAGATAGTCATACATGTGACACTCCCTGCAAAACACTGGATAGCCCCCCAACCCCCTGCTGGCATTCTGGCTTCATAATTCTTTTAAAATAAGTAATTATAATCCCCCTTTTAAACCCCTTTGTATTTATGTGGTTTTTCCTGTCAAAGTCAACTTACCTTATGGGGAAGACAAAGGGCCTTGGCTTTCTGGCTCTTCTTGGGCTTCTTACAGAGCCCCTTGTCTAAGAGCCACAGGCAAAGAGTCCTTTAGCTCGCCCTTTGGCTCATGCCTCTGGCAAGGTGCTTTCTTAAATACTGAATTACAGTCAATCACAGTCAAACAATGCCCCTTCCTCTCCCTCTCTCAAGCAGCCAGGACTCTGCAACAACTCTAATCGCTTTCACACACTCCCAAACACAGTCCTCCCACACAATATCCTCAGCTGAATCCGCTCAGCTGAAAGCAAGTTAAAAAACAAAGGAACTCTGTCTCCTGCTCCTGCTCAGAGCTCAGCTGGGTCAACAACCACCATTGTCCAGATCCTTGTCAGGCTATTAGATGTTGATTTGGCACTGATGTTGGTACTAGTATTGGGGCCAGGGCCACGATGTTAGCGGCAGCACCCTAATTGAAAGCCTGGTGGAAGAGCTCCGTTTTACAGGCCTTGTGGAACTGTAAAACGTCCTGCAGGGCCCTTATGTCCTCTGGGGGCTCATTCCACCAGTATGGGGCCACCACAGAGAAGACCCTGATCCTCATCACAGCTAGCCTGGCTTCTTTAGGGCCTGGAAAGGCCACACGGTGTTGGGATCCCGATTTTCGTGCTCTCTGGGGAATATGTGGGGAAAGACGGTTCCTTTAGATAAGTAGGTCCCTGACCATATAGGGGCTTTAAAGGTAAGAACCAGCACCTTGAACCGGATCCGGTATGCTATAGACAGCCAGTGCAGTGCTTTTAGGGCAGGCTGGATGTGCTCCCGCATAGGGAGACACAACAACAGCCTCGCCGCTGCATTCTGCACCAGCTGTAGCTTCCAGATTAGGGACAAGGGCAGCCCCATGCAGAGAGCATTACAGTAATCCAATCTCGAGGTCACCATTGCATGGATCACTGTTGCCAGGTCATTGCATTCAAGGAAGGGAACCAACTGCTTAATCAGCCGCAGATGGTAAAAGGCAGACTTCACAATGGCTGCTACCTGGGCCTCCATTGTTAAGGGGGCATCCAGGAGCACTCCCAAACTTCTAACCTCCGGCACTGGCACCAGTGGCGCCCCATCGAAGATTGGGAGAGGGATCCCTAACCTTGGCCCACTTCGACTCAGGAACAGGACCTCCGTCTTCGTCGGATTCAATTTCAGTTCACTCAGTCTAAGCCAACCAGCCAAATACTATTCTTATTTGGAATAGTAGATTGAATAGTGATTGTAATGTAATGCAATGAATAGTAGAATGTAATGTAATTTGGAATGGTAGACTGGTGACAGAGAAGACATAAGGCTGTACACCCAGTCAACCCACCTTAAAGAAAAGGATGCTGTTAGTTACCTCCATGCTTGAGAGGAGCCAGATGGAGCGTCACAACATGGTCTCAGTTAATTATTTTCAGCATTCCACAATTCAGAAGGGTACATTTACACTTCAGTCTCCAGTATTTATTTGCTTCACTATGTTTCCCCCCGGAATTAAATCCAAACAAATGGTGACCATATAAATTAAGCTTGTTATTCCTGTTCTGTCCTTGCATCTATTAAACATGTTCATTATGTTGTACACTAATTGCTACCCTCTACCTATATGTATGGACTGATAACTTCCATTTCAGCGTATCTGAAGAAGTGTGCATGCACACAAAAGCTTATACCATGGATAAAACTTTGTTGGTCTTAAAGGTGCTACTGGATTTGAATTTTGTTCAGTAAAATAATATGTTAGCCATTAGAGGGCGCCAGTGTATTAGTTTTTTAAAAAGTCATTATCTACAATAATTTAGAAGAACCTTTCAGAGACAGTTAAATTGGTGGAAAGTGAGAAAAATATAGTGACATGGTGGCAAACATTTCGTATATAAAAACATATTTATATATATATAAAAACATATTTATACTTATACATTTTTTAGGCTTAATAGCCATAGGCCGTACACCAAAGAACATTTAGGAATTAGAAATAA